CAACCACCATATTACCCCATTGACGCTAGAGATTCGTTAAAAGAATATTTCCTCTTAAGTTAGAGGCGGGAAGCGTGTTCGCGATACAGCAATCTTGTAACTCACGATACAGCCATCACGATTCTTGCTGTATCTTCCTGCTGTTGCTGCTGCGTCTCTGGGGGTAGCACAGGTGCAATGGGTGCACTGGTCACTGTGATAAAAACCCAGATAACCCAAACCCTGTGATAAAAACCTTCTGTGTGGTGCAGAAGGTCAGCGTCCCGATGATCTCACAACCTGACAAATTTGGAATGTGTCAAATATAAAATCAAATGAGAGATACATGTCGGAGGAAGGTGTTCCAGAAGCAACAGCAGCGACAACAGCAGCGACAACAGACAGCGACAACAGCAGCGACAACAGCAGCGACAACAGACAGCGACAACAGACATCCAATGTCTTCACCAGGGGCCAGATTCACGAAGCAGTTACGCAAGCACTTACGAACATGTACATCTTCTCTCAATCTTTGGCGGCTTTCTTTACAATTATTAAACAGTTAATGAGCTCCGAAGCACCAGGAGGCTGTTTATAACAATAACAACAGTTGAATGGGAAGTTTTCATGCTTGTAAACTGTTTAATAAATGTAACCAAAGCCGTCAAAGATTGAGGAAAGATGTACACGTTCGTAAGTACTTGCGTAAGTGCTTTCGTGAATCTGGCCCCAGAGTACTCCCTAGACCCAAACTTATGGGCGTCCTCGGCCAACATGTGCGGCCCATTATTCGACTGACACCTTCCTCTGAATGTCTGTGGCAGCGCTCGAGGAGAAGGAAGTGGCACTCTCCACCAGTTCGATAGTGTTACTGGAGACGCCGGTCACGGAGAATGTGGAGGGAGGCAGAGGGAAGAAAGAGAGAGGGGCCCAGGTAGAAGAAAAATGCGGGAGAGGGAGGGAAGGAAGAAAGGGAGTGGAGGATGACGTGAGGAAGGAGAAGGCAGTGAAAGTACCCCCTTCCCTGCACCACAGGGTCAAATGTGGTGTCACTGAGGATGTGGTGATGTGAACGGTGAGGCGTGCCAGAGATGAGACTGTTGTGGACGTGTGGCCGGCTCGGAGTGATGCGAAGACGAGAGATGCTTCAAGTCTGACCCTCACAAGTCATTTCTTCAACCTTACCAGTCACTGAAGCCGGCACTTGCAACCACAGGTCACTACGAGAGGGAGTGCAAGCCAGACTACAGCAGGGATGGGAGTGCAAGCCAGACTACAGCAGGGATGGGAGTGCAAGCCAGACTACAGCAGGGATGGGAGTGCAAGCCAGACTACAGCAGGGATGGGAGTGCAAGCCAGACTACAGCAGGGATGGGAGTGCAAGCCAGACTATAGCAAAGCTATGATAATGGATCCACCCAGCCTATAAAAGTACCCATCAACATGATCACCACCTACAAAATTCTCAGGGAACTTGACAGGGTGGACAAAGACAAACTCTTTAGCACGGGTGGAACACGAACAAGGGAACACAGTTGGAAACTTAGTACCCAGATGAGCCACAGAGACAATAGAATTTTTTCAGTGTCAGAGTAGTTAACAAATGGAATGCATTAAGCAATGATGTGGTAGAGGCTGACTCCATACACAGTTTCAAATGTACATATGATAGAGCCCAGTAGGCTCAGGAACCTGTACACCAGTTGACCGACGGTTGAGAAGTCAAAGAGACAGAGAAGTCCCGGGTTCAATCCCGGGCGCCGGCGAGAAACAATGGGCAGAGTTTCTTTCACCCTATGTCCCTGTTACCTAGCAGTAAAATAGGTACCTGGGTGTTAGTCAGCTGTCACGGGCTGCTTCGTGGGGTGGAGGCCTGGTCGATGACCGGGCCGTGGGGACACTAAAGCCCCGAAATCATCTCAAGATAACCTCAAGATAACCTGACCAACATTAGAATATGCAACACAGGCCAAGATTCCATACCGCGTGATATAAACTACATACCTTGAGTCTACTTTGTGAAGGCTCCGGGGATCAACGGACTTGCGGCCCTGTCTCCAGGCAGCCCTCCCAGCTGGTCGTCTGGTCAACCAGGCTGTTGGACTAAAACTAAACCGACTGTTCAACTAAAAATGAAAATGTGCAGAAGTTTGCATATTTGCAATAAGCAACATTGCATATGGCACTTAGATTAATGCCAAACTGAGAAGAGTTTCAACTTGCAATGTTGATGATGCAACTTGACCTTCCAACCCTGGAGAACAAAAGAGACAGAGATATTATGATCACAACATACAAGATACTGAGAGGAACCGACAAGATGGATAAGAATGGTCTCTTTAAATTGAAACAATGGACAACAGGCCACAATTGAAATCTGACAACACAAATGAGCCAAAGAAATGTCAAGGAAGTTAAAAAGTGGAACGCACTGAGGAAAGAAGTTATGGAAGCCACCTCCATCCACAACTTTAAGATCTGATTCGACAGAGAATTTGAGCGTCAGGATAGTTATAACAGGGGTAGTGGGCGGGGTATGCAGAGCTAGACTTCACTCCCCCGTAGGCCCTGACGAGGAAGCTTATACACAGAACACAATTATCTACTCTTCTACCTTATAACAAAAGGTGTTATACATATACATTACTGTTTAATACATAAACATTACTCTACTATGCCAAGCAATATTTACCTTTACGTATGCATAAATCGCATTGCGGAGATTACCTGGAATTGTCGCCGGATTTAGCGGGTGGATTATGTGTAGGCTGTGAGAGGAAGGGGGCTGGTACCCCCCCCGCCATCTCTGTACAGTAGAGGTGGGGAGGGGGTACAGTAGAGGTGGGGAGGGGGTACAGTAGAGGTGGGGAGGGGGTACAGTAGAGGTGGGGAGGGGGTACAGTAGAGGTGGGGAGGGGGTACAGGAGGAATACAAAGGGAGGGGGTAAAGAAGGAGGGAGTGAGGGGTACAGCAGAGAGGGGGGTTACAGCACAGGGAAGGAGGGTGAGAGGTTACAGCGAGAATTCTCTCAGAACAACGTAGGAAGGATTATGAAGACTGACAAAGTTGACCTAACGTCGCTAGGAAAGAAAATTAGAGAGGAGACATGATAGCGACATATCAAATACATATTGCAACAGAGACGGTGGGTAAGGAGGAAATGTTCAAAATGAATGATAATGGAGAGAGATGATAAGGGGTGAAAGATATACTAATGAGTCATAACAATGTAAAGTATATATTGACCAATTGTAGGAAACAACAGGCAATTTAACTGAACAAAGGTGGAGCCCACGAGCTGAAGTTCGACCCAACAAGAACACAGAGGTGAGTACACAACCACAGCCAGAGAGGGCAAGCATCAGGGGGGAAAGTTTGAAGCCGCCGCTAAGTTTAGCTTACACCAGTGAAATTCGGTCGGCGAATGGCGTGTAGCGCTAACTGTAGCGGCCGGAGCTGCTCTCGTGCAAGGGAAGGCCTCCATAATTCTGATAGTTAGCACAATATTTGTCTTAACTTGGGCGGGAAGCCCCCAGGGAGCTTCCTGGGGCCGGCGGGGGCGGTGCTCGGGTGGCCCCGGCACTACACCTCACCACACACACATTATTGAATTATAAATCAAGTATGATTGGCGTGATACAAGACCATGACTAGTCGCACATGATATCGTGACCCCATTATTAACCAGGAATTATATATCGTATCCAGGGCTATCATTATCCAGGCAAAATATCGCTTACTTTATCCAGAGACTCAGCCTGTGTGGTGGAGCGGGGATATACTGATGGAACGCCACACTTGTTCAAGAGTTACCCACAGACTGTGGGCTCTGTTGCTCCTCCACCACCTGGAGCAGCCTCCGGTACGTCTGGTACCCTGGGGGAGGACACGTGGTACCCCAGGCGGGGGGCTAGGACTCCAGCCGGGTGGCTAGGACCCCAGCCGGGTGGCATGTGATGTCGAACCTGTTATGTATAGGCCTTATGACGGCTCCTCCAGGTGGTGTAGAGCGACGCTCTCGCTTCATGCAGGTCGGCATTCAATCCCCGATCGTCCACAAGTGGTTGGGCACCATTCCTTCCCCCCGTCCCATCCCCAAACCCTTATCCTGACCCCCTTAACCCAGTGCTATCCAGTCGTAATGGCCTGGCGCTTTCCCCTGATAGTTCCCTCCCCCCTCAGAACTTTCTAGGAAATGTCGTTTAAGTCGCGTGACTGGACCAATCAGGCGGAGGCAACATGCAATAACAACTGATTTGATTCATTATTGGAGGTAAGAGTCCTCCCCAGCCAATCAGGACGAGGTTTTCCTCTGAGGCGGTCTGGCTTCGGTCTGTGATCAGATGCAGTTGTAGTGTCCGCAGATGTCATTATTGATCAGCGTTAATTGTTGGGGTACAGAGACATTCCCCGAGGTGAGGAGAGTCAGTATTACGAGGTCACGGATGGTGGTGGCTCAGCCGTGTCTAATATCACGCCGTGCCAGACGTCACAGTTGCCTGGGTCACCCTAAGGGGGAGGACAAAATAGGTAAGCTACGAGGGGGGGGGCAGCTGTATTAAGACCCGAGGGGTCAAAGGGTGTGTTGACCAGACCACACACTAGAAGGTGAAGGAACGACGACGTTTCGGTCCGTCCTGGACCATTCTCAAATCCATTGTGGCGTCCCAAGTCGCCAGAGGGTGTGTGGGGAGGGACGGGGAAGGTGGCACTAGCACCGTGGGTCGGGTGGCACTAGCCCCGTGGAGCGGGTGGCACTAGCCCCGTGGGGCGGGTGGCACTAGCACCGTGGGGCGGGTGGCACTAGCCCCGTGGGGCGGGGCGGGTGGCACAGGGGATGGCAGTGCCAGGTATGCGGGTGTGTGCGCCGTGAGGTTGGCCGCCATATATCAGAGCGAGTGGTTGAACTCTCAAGTGTCTGGGTGAGTGATCCTCGCTATTGTTCATGACTCCCCTAGCTCCTGGGCTGCCACCTGCTGCCTCCTCCAGGTGGCTGGCGCCCCTCAGCTGCCTACTCCAGATGGCTGGCGCCCCTCAGCTGCCTTCTCCAGGTGGCTGGCGCCCCTCAGCTGCCTTCTCCAGGTGGCTGGCGCCCCTCAGCTGCCTTCTCCAGGTGGCTGGCGCCCCTCAGCTGCCTTCTCCAGGTGGCTGGCGCCCCTTAGCTGCCTTCTCCAGGTGGCTGGCGCCCCTCAGCTGCCTCCTCCAGGTGGCTGGCGCCCCTCAGCTGCCTTCTCCAGGTGGCTGGCGCCCCTCAGCTGCCTTCTCCAGGTGGCTGGCGCCCCTCAGCTGCCTTCTCCAGGTGGCTGGCGCCCCTCAGCTGCCTTCTCCAGGTGGCTGGCGCCCCTCAGCTGCCTTCTCCAGGTGGCTGGCGCCCCTCAACTGCCTTCTCCAGGTGGCTGGCGCCCCTCAGCTGCCTTCTCCAGGTGGCTGGCGCCCCTCAGCTGCCTCATCCAGGTGGCTGGCGCCCCTCAGCTGCCTTCTCCAGGTGGCTGGCGCCCCTCAGCTGCCTCCTCCAGGTGGCTGGCGCCCCTCAGCTGCCTCCTCCAGGTGGCTGGCGCCCCTCAGCTGCCTCCTCCAGGTGGCTGGCGCCCCTCAGCTGCCTCCTCCAGGTGGCTGGCGCCCCTCAGCTGCCTCCTCCAGGTGGCTGGCGCCCCTCAGCTGCCTCTTCCAGGTGGCTGGCGCCCCTCAGCTGCCTCCTCCAGGTGGCTGGCGCCCCTCAGCTGCCTCCTCCAGGTGGCTGGCGCCCCTCAGCTGCCTCCTCCAGGTGGCTGGCGCCCCTCAGCTGCCTCCTCCAGGTGGCTGGCGCCCCTCAGCTGCCTCCTCCAGGTGGCTGGCGCCCCTCAGCTGCCTTCTCCAGGTGGCTGGCGCCCCTCAGCTGCCTTCTCCAGGTGGCTGGCGCCCCTCAGCTGCCTTCTCCAGGTGGCTGGCGCCCCTCAGCTGCCTTCTCCAGATGGCTGGCGCCCCTCAGCTGCCTTCTCCAGATGGCTGGCGCCCCTCAGCTGCCTTCTCCAGGTGGCTGGCGCCCATCTTATGTTTGGCTCTGACTCCTTTAAACCACTATCTCTAAACCGTCAGTTCAAATTACTTCTCTCATGGCACTGACAGCTAGCTCGCTCGCTCTCTCTCTCGCTCTCTCTCGCTCTCTCTCGCTCTCTCTCTCTCTCTCTCTCTCTCTCTCTCTCTCTCTCTCTCTCTCTCTCTCTCTCTCTCTCTCCAGTGCCTCTCACCTGAGGGTGCCAGGAGAGGGTGTACAGGTGTGGCAGGTGTAGAGATCACCGCTCTAAGGGTCTGTGAGTTAATTTGTTCCCCCTTTCTTTCCGTCCCTTTAGCTGGGGCACACATCTGGCTCCTACACCTTAGCTGGGGCACACATCTGGCTCCTACACCTTAGCTGGGGCACACACAGCTGGCTCCTACACCTTAGCTGGGGCACACATCTGGCTCCTACACCTTAGCTGGGGCACACAGCTGGCTCCTACACCTTAGCTGGGGCACACATCTGGCTCCTACACCTTAGCTGGGGCACACATCTGGCTCCTACACCTTAGCTGGGGCACACAGCTGGCTCCTACACCTTAGCTGGGGCACGCATCTGGCTCCTACACCTTAGCTGGGGCACACACAGCTGGCTCCTACACCTTAGCTGGGGCACACACATCTGGCTCCTACACCTTAGCTGGGGCACACAGCTGGCTCCTACACCTTAGCTGGGGCACACAGCTGGCTCCTACACCTTAGCTGGGGCACACAGCTGGCTCCTACACCTTAGCTGGGGCACACAGCTGGCTCCTACACCTTAGCTGGGGCACACACATCTGGCTCCTACACCTTAGCTGGGGCACACATCTGGCTCCTACACCTTAGCTGGGGCACACATCTGGCTCCTACACCTTAGCTGGGGCACACACAGCTGGCTCCTACACCTTAGCTGGGGCACACACAGCTGGCTCCTACACCTTAGCTGGGGCACACAGCTGGCTCCTACACCTTAGCTGGGGCACACAGCTGGCTCCTACACCTTAGCTGCGGCACACAGCTGGCTCCTACACCTTAGCTGAGGCACACAGCTGGCTCCTACACCTTAGCTGGGGCACACACAGCTGGCTCCTACACCTTAGCTGGGGCACACAGCTGGCTCCTACACCTTAGCTGGGGCACACAGCTGGCTCCTACACCTTAGCTGAGGCACACAGCTGGCTCCTACACCTTAGCTGGGGCACACACAGCTGGCTCCTACACCTTAGCTGGGGCACACACAGCTGGCTCCTACACCTTAGCTGGGGCACACACAGCTGGCTCCTACACCTTAGCTGAGGCACACAGCTGGCTCCGACACCTTTCATCTGACGTGAACGTGAACATGTGTGTGAGCCGTTACGTGTGAGTAGATGTGTGTGAGCCCCACTCAGATATGTGGGAAGCACTAGCCCCGTGGTGGGCTAGTGCTTCCCACATATCTGAGTGGGGAAGCACTAGCAACACGTAAGCATTGGCTTACGTGTTGAGAGACGTAAGCCAATATTAACTCCGGGTTGTATAGCGTCGCGGGAGGAGCGGAAGGCGTGAGGCGCTTGTGTTTCTTGCGTTAAGTCAAGAATGGTGAACTGTGACTCCTGACCTCTTATTCAATAAAGGTGTGCGCAGAGTGATGCTTGAGGCCCGGCTCAATATTGACCCAGGTAAGCGAAGGTCAACAACTGCGGTCGAGCGCTCACCTCAACTGTTTAAATAGGATTAATGGACAATATTCTCCCGGCCGCAAGGGCCCGCCTCTTAAGCTTTCCTTACGTGCACGGGGAGTGGGCGCCTGCTTGCTGGGTCCTCCTCTCTTCCCTGGCCACACTCCCCCTTACCTGCCTCCTGTTTACATCTGACGTAGGACCCCAGGGATGTTTCAAGGGATGCAGGGACGTCCTCACCGTCCCCTGGTGGGTCTGGGGTGGGGCGTGGCCCCTCACAGCCCCCTGGTGGGTCAGGGGTGGGGCGTGGCCCCTCACAGCCCCCGAGAGTGTCAGGGGTGGGGCGTGGCCCCTCACAGCCCCCGAGAGGGTCAAGGGTGGGGCGTGGCCCCTCACAGCCCCCGAGAGTGTCAGGGGTGGGGCGTGGCCCCTCACAGCCCCCGAGAGGGTCAGGGGTGGGGCGTGGCCCCTCACAGCCCCCGAGAGGGTCAGGGGTGGGGCGTGGCCCCTCACAGCCCCCGAGAGGGTTAGGGGTGGGGCGTGGCCCCTCACAGCCCCCGAGAGGGTTAGGGGTGGGGCGTGGCCCCTCACAGCCCCCGAGAGAGTCAGGGGTGGGGCGTGGCCCTCACAGCCCCCTGGTGGGTCAGGGGTGGGGCGTGGCCCTCACAGCCCCCGAGAGAGTCAGGGGTGGGGCGTGGCCCTCACAGCCCCCGAGAGAGTCAGGGGTGGGGCGTGGCCCTCACAGCCCCCTGGTGGGTCAGGGGTGGGGCGTGGCCCCTCACAGCCCCAGAGCGAGATTTTTTGTGGCGGAGTTGGGGTGGGTGGGGGGATAGGGACGGGGGTAGGGAGGGGGGAATTATCAGGGGAAAGTGTCAAACCAATACGAATATATAGTACTCGGAAGGGGTCAGGATAATGATTTGGGATGGGACGGGGGAAAGGAATGGTGCCCAACCACTTGGACGGTCGGGAATTGAACGCCGACCTGCATAAACCGAGACCGTCGCTCTACCGTCTTGTCCAAGAAGTTGGGCGGGGAGGGGGAGGGGGTGTTGGAAATTGTAAAAAATAAATTGTATTGCTTCGTTACTGTGGAGAAGATTCAAGCTCCTGGTCCACCGGCCATGGGGGCGGGGCGGCGGCTCCTGCAGTAACCGGTCTAACATTGGGTCTTGTAACGTTCTGATGGTGTCCCACACCCTGGCTGGCGGCTGGCGGCTCTAGCCTCGTGTTCAGGGCTTCAGGGAGCTCCACGATTGCCTGCATCAACTTCCTCATCACAATCGACTTGAGAATGGTCCAGGACAGACCGAAACGTCGTCGTCCCTTCACCTTCTAGTGTGTGTGGTCTGGTCAACGCTCCTGGATGGTCGGGTCGTATAGTAATCGGTGTTTGGCTGCTCCCCTTAGTGCCTTGTTTTGCACAGCTTGTAGTTTTTGCATGTTAGTTTTCTTTAAGGTGTAGAGTCCGGGGCCTCGTAGCCTGGTGGATAGCGCGCAGGACTCGTAATTCTGTGGCGCGGGTTCGATTCCCGCACGAGGCAGAAACAAATGGGCAAAGTTTCTTTCATCCTAAATGCCCCTGTTACCTAGCAGTAAATAGGTACCTGGGTGTTAGTCAGCTGTCACGGGCTGCTTCCTGGGGATGGAGGCCTGGTCGAGGACCGGGCCGCGGGGACACTAAAAAGCCCCGAAATCATCTCAAGATAACCGTATCCCTCAAGAGTGGTATTGGAGGATATTGGAGATGCAGCGGGACTAGAGCCTTGTGCAAGTGTAGCTATCTTCACAACCCGTCCACTTAAAAATATCGTCGCTTATCGCTCGTATGTGCTCTATGGCCAAAAATGAACGTAATTTGAAATGAAATCGGCTCAAAAAAGTGATGTACTCTCCCGTTTTCTGTTTGAGTCGTCTGGCTCACTCGGTAAGGTTAGGAAAAAAAACTTTCAACTAACGTTTTTCTATGACGTTTTGAAACTTTAGGAGAATTTCCTGACTTCCTAATTTACCAGAGGACCCTTAACTTACTGTTTTCTGACTTCCTAATTTACCAGAGGACCCTTAACTTACTGTTTCCTGACTTCCTAACTTACCAGAGGACCCTTAACTTACTGTTTCCTGACTTCCTAACTTACCAGAGGACCCTTAACTTACTGTTTCCTGACTTCCTAACTTACCAGAGGACCCTTAACTTACTGTTTCCTGACTTCCTAACTTACCAGAGGACCCTTAACTTACTGTTTCCTGACTTCCTAACTTACCAGAGGACCCTTAACTTACTGTTTTCTGACTTCCTAACTTACCAGAGGACTCTTAACTTACTGTTTTCTGACTTCCTAACTTACCAGAGGACCCTTAACTTACTGTTTTCTGACTTCCTAACTTACCAGAGGACTCTTAACTTACTGTTTTGGAAAACAAAAAAATCCCAAATTTATTTTAAATTTATTTTATTTTCAAATTACGTCCATTTTCGGCCATACGGGCAAACGGCCAAACGTAATTGGTAAGAGAACAGGTGTCGTTGTCGTGCCCAGGTTACAGAACCTGCGTTTCCCTTAGACGGTTTTTGCGTTATTTATACTGTCACAAGTGAATCAGTTTTGATTCCTATTAATGTTCAGTCGCCGTATGCTGCTTACATTCATGTGTTGGACTTGGTAATTGTCAAGGATATTAGACTCTGGATTTTGTTTTGCAATGTATATTATTTGGAACTTTTTCCTTGTTGGTACTTAATCCAATCACTTGGGCTGGACGGTAGAGCGACGGTCTCGCTTCATGCAGGTCGACGTTCAATCCCCGACCGTCTAAGTGGTTGGGCACCATTTCTTCCGAACCCCCGTCCCATCCCAAATCCTTATCCTGACCCCTTCCCAGTGCTATATAGCCGTAATGGCTTAGCGCTTTACCCCTGATAGTTCAATTCAATTCAGTTTGTTGGTACTTATTTCCTATTACTCTTTAAAGTTGTTTATGGCTTCTATTGTCGCTTTTATTTTGTCGGCCAATAACGTCTTAGACTGTCATCTTAGACTGTCATCTTAGACTTGACCATTCTCAAGTCGATCGACTTGAGAATGGTCCAGGACGGACCGAAACGTCGTCGTCCCTTCACCGTCTAGTATGTGGTCTGGTCAACATAATTTAGCCACGTTATTGTGACTCGTCGCCTGCATAAGGGTTTCTGTGCCGGGTCGTTTAGTCGGTATTACTGGTAAGCGGCCACTCGTGTATACCGGCCCTCTACCCCCTCAAAGGTTTAGCAAGTGGTAGTGTGATTGTATTATATTATCTGGTGTGCCACTGTGATCTTGTATGCCACTATGGTCATGCCTCACATGAAGCTACATCTTGAGACGTAGTGAACGGCTTATTTCTTCCT